TGTGTGTGTGTGTGTGTGTGTGGCCAGCTCAGCCCACCAGGGGGCGGGGCTGGCTGGCATGTGGTGCTGGGGGATTGAACCGAGGTCCCTTTGCTTTGCTAAGCTTGTTCTAAGTAGGTGCTTTAGACCACTGAGCCATCTCACCAGCCCCTACATATTTAAATATATCTCAGGATTCTAGGACTTTTGCTTAAATATAGAGAGCTGACCACATGCATGTAACTTCTCTCCTCCCCAGAACCTGGTTAATATGCCATTAAAAAGCTTCCATTCTAACCATCATGATAACAGAAATTATACTACTACCAGGTATAATGAGGTAACTATTGCTTCCAAATATCTCGAATAATTGTTTTCGGACATAAGATCCCAGGAAATAGGCAACTGAGATGTCTGAATGTAAGAGAAACACACAGAGGAAGTAAGAGATTTGGGGCCCAGGGGATAGTCCATGGAGGGAAATACCCAGCAGGGCCTGGCGGGTTTGCTCTGGTAAGGAGAGAGACAAAGGATCCAGGGAGGTCGAAGCAGGACACAGTGCTGGAAGGGAATGAGCCTTGCAGGAAAGAACCCATCTGATCTTCTTTCACTCATCCATCACCTCCTAATCCTCTCTGCTCCAAGGAATGGGAGTCCCTTGAAGTCTTTGCTGAATACTAAACTGCATATGTGTATAGTAAACTCAATAAAACTGCAGCACAGGAGCAATGAAGTGATGAATTTGCAGAGCTCAGAAGGCTGAGACCTTCAAGCTCCAACCTACAGAGCAGAGAATCTTTGTTGATCACTCAGTATATTCAGTAGAGAAGTGTTGTACCTTAGTAGTAAGGCTAAACTATCCCTAGAGAAAGGGCTCACCCAGACCTACTCTAGTCGATTAAAACGTAGCATCAAAAGGATCAGACTCAGGACTTGGTGGTGCATGTCTATATTTCTAAGCATTCTGGGAGGGAGACAAGGGGAATCACAAGTTTAAGCCCACCCTGGACAATTTAAGTGACTTAGTGAGACTATGTCTCAAAATAAAAAAGGACTAGAGATGTAGCTCAGTGCAAGTCCTGGGTTCAATTCCTAGTACCACACACACACACACACACACACACACACACACAGAGTGTGTGTGTGTGTGAGAGAGAGAGAGAGAGAGAGAGAGAGAGAAAAGAGAGAGCGACAATATCAACTTTATTTATAAGTAATTCACTTAGTTTTCCAGAACAAAGCCTAACATTCTTTAAAGAAAGATGACAAAATCCAGATGCTTAATATTTACTATGTATAATATCCAGTTAAAAATTATAGTCATGGGGCCGAGGAGATGGCTCAGTAGAATAAGTGCTTGCCTGGCAAGCACA